ATTACAGGCTGGACTTCAAAATGTTTGAGGAGATGCAGTCAGTGTTGAGTTTAGCACCCTGCACCAGAGCTGCGTGGCACTTTCTGTCTGGTAATACGACAATTGGATTTGCCAGCACTTGCAAACACTGTGTAAGTTTGGGAATGCCTCTTTCCAAAACATTCACCTGCTAGCAGTTGTTTGCCTGAGTATAGGTTAAAGGCTCAATCTTATTTTTACTGAGGAATACTTGGCTTACTTGAAGCCATGAACAGAGGCAGAGCCCCCGAAATATTCCTGTGAACATAATACTTTAGCTATTATAAATATTAAATGCCTATTTTTGCTTCCTGCCCCCACCCCCATCAGCCATAGCCATTTGAGTTAAGTGATCTCACTTCTACTTTTCTCCTTCTTTCCCCATGTTACAATAGTAATTACCTGGGAGAGATGGAAACCAAAAGCCTCAACAGGCACTGGCTTTTATTAGTTCTATACCCTGTAAGTTAAGAATCTAAAGTCTGGTTGTATAAGCAGAACACTAAAAAGACAGTATCTTGAAAGATACTTGGTACTGATTTTTTTTCCCTTTCAATATATAAATTTTATAGCAGTCCCATTTCTCTTCACCCTTCATGAGCCATGCAGTGCCTCAATTTCTCTCTTCAGTTCAAAGCGAGACCCAATGCAAAACTATCTAACTTGTGTGCTAAATACCAGGCATAAGCCCTTTTATGTAATCTAACGGGACTGATGCTGTCGCTCACCTTACATCCCTCCTGGCTATCACACCAGAATCACTTGGCAATAATTTTGAGATGAGCACAGAAGGATAGATAATGAAAAAGAATCAATCATTCCTTATTTCTTTTTCCAGAATGACATGCAGTAAGGTGAAGTTATGCTGGGCCCTTGGCCCCATTGCCCTTCTCTCCTTTAACTGCAAATAATCCTCAGTGATACACAGTACATTAGATAATGCATCTGGGATTACTGAACTGATTCTTAATTATAGGCAAATGTTGGGGAATGTTTTCATTTCCCCCTTGAGGCAAACTGATCACACATTTGTGTCAAATTGCATCATACTTGAGCAAACAATGCATCATTGGACAGTCTGCAAAGAGCACAATGTACCCTTTCTACACACAACTTTGATCAGCTCCCTTTTGCCACATTACCCCTGTATTGCTCCTCCAACCATTTCTCACTCCCACAACCATCAGGTGTTGTCCTCCCTAAGTTCCTAGAGCAGAGAGTTTCACTCAGATCTTGCACACAAGTTCATGATGTTCCCTGGTTTCAGGCATAGCAACAGCTAAGGTATATTTGACTCGGTTAGAAAGTCTTTTGCTGATCTGGTGCTGGCCAGACCCTTTTCACATCATCTAACCCTTGTAAAGGGATAGAGCTTTTGCCATAAAAATTCTCTTCCAGCTTCCTCAAGTCCTTTCCCAAAAGGTGATAGAGAACCTGCAGGCACCATGCAGCCTTTCCACTTCTCTTCTGCACCAGTAAATCTGCTGCAGACCCTCCCTCAGGCAGCTGTGCTGACAGGGGGAAGCACAGCTACCAATCACCCCCCAGTAGCTTTGTTCTTCTATGGGACTACCAGAAGCTTTTCCAGAGCTCCCATTCCATTTCTCCACCAGACAATGAGCATGGCCACAGCCATCCCGGTCAAAGGCTGCCTGGAGCATACCCTGCAAGTTTAATTGACAGGCTACACCAAAGAAGGGAAAGCATCAGGCAACCAGGAGTATGAAAAAGCAGGTGAGAAAGGTGGTTTACCTGTCCTGCTGACAATAAAACAGCTGCTTCTTGTGCTTAGGACTCTCAGATTCTGAGTAAAGCCAGAGAATCAAAGATCAAAGGGACAGATAATCTGCTGTAGAAAAAGTATTGCCATAGGGAACAAGCCAGCCACAGTGAGGAGGGGACAAGTGAATGAACTGCACCCCAGGGAACTCAGCGATACAAGACAGCTGTGGAGCAGGTCTTGAAAATACAGGCTCCAATAACAGATGCATTTGCCCTCAACTTAATCTTGAAGGGACTGTAGGAGCTCATGATGGAAGGAAGAGGAGGCTGTAGTTTTACAGTCTCGTGTACTTCTCCTCAAGTCCCACAGCCTCTACACACATGAGCAGCAGTATCATATTCCATGCACTCCCCACACCAGAAAACATGTGGCATGTTCTCAAAGGACTGGAGAAATTCAGCTGGTGTAACAAAAATGGACAGGAAGAGACATCACAAAGGCTGCTGCCTGAATGCTGCTTAGCACAATACTAACAAAACAGCCCTGGCTGCTAGACCGCTGTTCCTCACAACCCCACATTGTTTGAGAATTGCTTAGGCTTTTGTAATGGTTTATTGCTTTCAGCCCAACACATGGACAATTTCAACACAATGTGCCACAGATCTTACATTTTCCAGGGTATCCATCATCATCATCAACTTCCCGGTTTTCACAGACAAAGCATCTTGGCAGTCGAAGGCTGTGATTGGTTTCATCACTTGGGCATCCTGTACAGTTTTCTGCTATTTTTTCCCTTGGTCAGTGCTGTTTTGCACATATCAGAAAGAGCAGCTGCACTGGTTTTGGCTGGGATTGAGTTCGTTTTCTTCAGAGTAGCTAGTAGGGGGCTGTGTTTTGGATTTGTGCTGAAAACGGTGTTGATAATACAAGGATGTTTTATTTATTGCTGAGCAGTGCTTACAGAGTCAAGGCCTTTTCTGCTCCTCAGCCCACCCCACCAGCGAGCAGGTAGGGGGTGCACAGGATGTTGGGAGGGGACACAGCCAGGACAGCTGACCCCAACTGCCCCAAGGGATATCCCACACCACATGACATCATGTTCAGCATGTAAAGCTGAGGAAAAAAGAAGGAAGAGGTGGGAGGCGGGGGCAGAACAGGACACTTTCAGAGTGATGGTGTTTGTCTTCCCAAGTCACCATTACACGTGATGGAGCCCTGCAGTCCTGGAGGTGGCTGGACACCTGCCTGCCAGGAGGAAGTGGAGAGTGAATTCCTTGTTTTGCTTTGAGTATGCAGGTTTTGCTTTACCTATTCAACTGTCTTCATCTCAACCTACAAGCTTTCTAAGATTTACTCTTGCGCTTTTCTTCCCCCTCCCACTGGGGAGGAGTGAGCAAGCAGCTGTGTGGTGCTGTTTCTGGCTGGGGTTAAACCATGAGCAGCAGGAAAACAGGATCTCGGCAAGGAAAAAGGGGAGAGACTTGAGCAATCCCACAGCCCTCACATTCACAAATTCTATCAGCAGCTACTTGGGCTATGCCCAGAAAGGTCCTAGCAGTCCTCAAGGACTCCCCACAGGGAGAAGACAGAGTCTTCCAGGGTGGCATGTTAACTCCATTGGCCCTGATGCTCCTGGACCAGGGAACATGCTGGATTACTTGCAAGACTTGTGGCAGTCACATGCACCTTTCCAGACCCACAAGTTATGATGGAGTGTCATGAGGAACATATCTGAAAATATGTTTATCTTATGTATAGACAAATCCTGTGCCAAGCTATAGACAGAAAATGAGCACGAGCTCCATTGGTGACATGGATGAGTTGAGGAAGCCAATGTATTAGTCTGTCAAGATCTCTGCATGCTATCCCAGGTACGCCAAAATAATACTTCCTTCTACCTGTACCCCAGATACTTCACAAATGCAGTACTTTGGCTTGAAATCAGTGATGTACCAGGGCAGGCTGTACTGGGACACAGTGGTTTGTGCGTCTGCAACTGTATCAACACAGTAGAGACAAGTGGGTCCCCTATTGGCCAACTGAAGGGGAAAAATACCTCACCTACTATCTGGATATAATATTATACAGAATAACAGGAGTTTTTCAAACCACACCATCACAGCAAAAAAAAACTCAGCTCCTAGCTTATGTAAGGATTTCAGCCCATAAAATTAAAACTATTTCTATTTGAACAAAATTGGGTCTATCCACTAGATACATTTATCCCTTTATAATGTCAAATCTCATTATAAATATGAATCAAAATCAGGGACAAGAGGGACCTTCAAGCTGAGCTCCCAAAGTGTTATGGTTACTATATGGTTATAACACAGAGCATTTAAACTTAACAGTGCAGCTTTAAGGTCTTAACTCTACTCCAAGAGAAAACAGCACTGCTATTCTAAAGACTTGAAATGAAGTCACTTCAGCTATGCTTATTTCTGTCTTTCAAACATCTTCACAGAAGAGCAAGAAGAGTCTCACTTAAAAACCTCAGCTAATGTCTTCAGAGTAATGAAGTGGAAACACTTAGCAAAGCATTAAAAAAAATGCCCACTAACCTCCATGTGTGAAATGAGAGCTGAGCAAAAAACATTTTTGGTTTTCTAGTGGGTGGTTGTTTGGGGTTTTTTTGTTTGTTTGTTTTTTTGTTTTGTTTTGTTGTGGGTTTTTTTGGTTTTTTTTTTTTTTTTTTTACCTTTGGAATGACTGTCCTGCAGTAAAACATTACTTTCATACATGTCCAAGCTCCTGGACTTTTTGTCTGGGAAAGGCTGAAAGATGTTTAAGTAGTCTTAATTTATTAAAGCACGCATCAAGTATCTGACCAAACCAAAATAGGAGAGGGAATAACATGCTTTGCAATTCTATTTCTCTTGATAAACCCATAGCCTTAATTCTCTTTCTAGAAAGTTCTGTACAGAATACTGCCATTTAATTTAAACACAGTATGGAATTAACAGCAACCAGAGGCCAAACAATAGAAACAAAGGACTGCAAATCAGGAATACCCATTCCCTTGGCATCTACTAATCAATTGGCATACAAATTTCAAGTACCCTACCACACTCTTAGTGCCTTCAACAATGAAATGGTGGGCACTAGATGCCTCAGCTGTACCAAGCCATGAATGCTAATAATGCTTACCTTGTCACCACTGCTCTGCATTTCTAAACTTTTTGTCTCCAAAATAGCCCTTTAATCATAGACAGTGATGATTAGCCATAAGTCAGGATCAAATACAAATTAACATTTTCAATAAACGTACAAATCATTTATTTAAAATTCAAAACTCAGAGGTACAAACAAAATACTTAAGAAACAATAAATCCAGAAATGTAAACACTTATAGAAAATATACGAACTGTACCAATTTAACCACCCACCATTCTTCACAAAAATAGTGAGAAGTAGAAAGACAAATCAATGCCTAATTGTTCTTTTTTCAGATTCTAGTTTAGAGGTAGAATACTACTGTGAAAGACTCAACAGAATTTAGTTCAGTTGAATTATGCTACAAGTGAAGTTGGCCCATATGAATGTAAGGAAGTCAGAAAAGATGCTTCTTACTGAGAGCTCTTATACAATCAAATTTGGCGTGGCACTTTCCAAGAGATAAAGCACCTTTCCTGATAAATACTCGTTTATGCTTTTGCAAGTAAAGGATCCTGTGCTTTTTTCTTTACTAACATAATGAAAGCATTTAAATATACACAGAAAGTCCCAAGTTTTTGGCAGGCATATAGAAAGCACATTTTTCTCAGAAACTCATCCTAGAAAGCCAAATTGGGAAAAAAACCCTTATAACTATGAAAAAAAGGACTTTGTGAAAGACTTCATGAATACTTTGGGTGGCACAGTCCTCAAGGGAAGGAAAAAAGATTAATACCACAGGGAAAAAAAAAGGTCTCTTCCACTCCCTAAAAGCAGGGGAACTGCCCAGTTTTTTACATATTTTTGTCATTGCATCAGTCTCCACTAAATGCTACAATTCTATCCTCTCAACAAAAAGTGTATCTGTGTGAGACACACTACCTTCCAGTCCAATAAAAACCACCAAGGTAGTCTCAAAGAAATGTATCTTCCATTTTCGTTCATCAAACAACCTGCTACAAGTAAAAACTAAGATTGGAGTTCTTAAGACAATATATACAAATCCATAAAAACCAGGAACATTTGCAAGCTCAATGACATACAAACATTATTCAGAAAAAAAATGAAACTTGTTTTTATATACAGACAGACTGGCTGTGAAGTGCATTATTGAAATTGCTTCATGCAAATAGTATAATCTATTGTTGTTTAAGGAACTTAACTATAAACAAAATGTTAGGCTTCTGCAATTTAGTTTAACAAGGACTTTCTCAAGTATTTGCTGAAAGATGTTTGTGTTTTAGAAGCAATAAAATAAAATTTGTAGTCTTAATGCCTTCTTGCTTTGTGGTGTAAGAACTCTCTAGAGATGCAAATATGGTAAAATCCCAATTCAGACAGCCAGTTCACAAGGACTCAAACTCAAGCATGACCCTGCTTCTTTTAAGGAAATAAAAGCAAGAGTTAGGCCAATGTTCAGTACCTTTTAAAAATTCCATCCTTGCCATTCAAATCTCCCATTCATTTAAATGATGGGTTTAGGTACTAAAACTAGAGTTGTGACCATTAATCAGGCATTACCTTGTTGTTTCCCTTTTGTAAAGTTATCTAACAGAGAAGAATCAATACAATTCAAATACCTTAAAAAACCCTTCAAGCATAAAATGTCAACAGGCCTGCAATCATAGAAGAGCTGGTGTTACCATTACAGACTAAACCTGAAAACATATATAAATGCATTTCCACCTTCCTCCTTCTCCCTACCTTCATAAAAGCAGGCAAAAGAGTAATTTCTGCCACAGACTGGCTGAAAAAGGTTCGCATGCACCAACCACCTCATTTGGAGAAAAAACTACTTGTGTGGCACAGTTTATATCATTAGTCTGAGCTATATTTAGCCAATTTATCTGAAACAAATCAAAGAAGCACTTAAACTGTACTCATGGCAGAGCTGACAATGCTGCCTGACAAATAACCGTTAGGAATCTCTTCCATTAATACTGGAGGACCAAGCCAGGACAAAGTACAACAGACAAGCCTTCCTCCTACAAAGCACATTATTCTGTTGAGTATAAAGCCTTACAAAAAGAAAATGCTGTAAGACATACCATATTAGTACAGGAAAATTTCAGACATGGATTTTCATGTATTAGGCCTTCCGATTCCTTTATGAAATTTCCAGCATCTCTAAAGGGAGCTGTGCATTTCTATCCAGGTAAAACAATATTACATACCTAGATTACGAAAACTTATACAAAGAAGAGTAAATGTTAAGCCATATATTAAGCTATGATATTTCCATATAATGATTTTTCAAGAGCTCAAAACAGACCAAAGGAAGCCATTTCTAAATATACATCCAGTTTGATTCCTTATTTTTTTACCTTATCTCTCATTATGTCTTTCCCTGTATGTATTTTAATGGTCAGGATGAAATACTGTGTATATACAAACTAATTACATTTAACCCTGTAAAAACTAATCCAAAACTTCACCATTTCTTGTGATTTCTGTATATTCAGGCAGCCCACCTTATATACACGCAAGATACTTTTCTGAACATCAGAAAAAAACCCAAAACCTTTCATATTCTTCCATATTTCACAGCTTCCCCAAAAGAATAAGATAAAACTGATTATATGTTGATACACACTTCATTGTACCTTCATAAAATCACTTTTGGATACATGGGTTACAAGTTAAAAACAGCCAACAGTTGACCAAGGCATTTAGTTAAAATAAGTTGGTTTGTGTTTGCAAGCTCTAATAATTCCTCCAATTTCTCTGTTACAGAGGAAATGTCAGGAAACATCTAGGGCTTCCATGAAAATGTAAGGATTCACCAAGTTTTTCCCCTTGGACACCTCCAAAATTAAAGTTGTTTCTCCTCTTTCTAATTGAAAATTCTTGAATATGCTAATAAAGCACTCTTCCATGAAAGAGAACTTACTGGTTTTTTACACCTAACCACTGCCTCCAGAGTGTAAGGTCCAACAACTGTGTTACAGACAGAAACAATTTCTCTCTCAAAACCCAAAGTAAGTCTCTTCAAAGGTTTACATGAGATCTTTTTAAAAAATAAGGTATCTTTTAAAAAACAGACTGACAGCCAAAGAGCCAAATCCTATGAACTGCGGAGATGTCCAGGCATGGCAGATTTAAATCCAAGTTGAGAACCTTCAGAGAACAAGGGTACGATCATGTAAGACTAAACACTTTAATTAGATGTTGTGATACATTAATACACCTGTACCACTTCCAATACCCAAGAACATTCCTACTCTAAGATCTAATTATGACTATGGTTATGCTACAAACGTGCTGTAACTAGACTGAGTTAAGAATCTACCACCTCAGTTGCTGGGGTTTTTTTTCAGTGCTCTCATGTATGCAAGGCACAGTCAAATGTCAGCTTGATTGCAGTGACAGCTCTTTGAGAAGGTAGTGCCCTAGAACTTATTTTTTTGGGGGTGGGGAAAAGAGATGATGGCTATTCTATACACAGAGGCAAGCTTTATTCTTCCAAGGTGAACTTCACCACTGGGCAGATGGCTGGTACAAGTCCAATACACCATTTCTGTTGTAAATAAAGGCTATTTTGAGGCCTCAAGCAGATACTGGCCTCATGCCAAACTCCTGAGTAGTTGTAAATTTCAGCTCAGAACCTAAAGCTGACAAGCAACCAAAGCTTTTACAAGAATTCAACTATTTTACATGGTAACATGGCCATAGGAGTCACTTTAAAACAGCACTACTTAACACCACCATAGCACCAGAAGTTAACGTGGTGATTCAAAGATTTATAATATACACGTGTCTTTATATCTGAGAAGTTAATATTGGCAAACTACTGAAACACTGGTCTTCCAGTACACACTGCAAAATACAGTATCTGCACACTGAACTGACCCCTAGAAGTCATGACGTCAACTTTTATTTTACTAGTGTCCATCACAAATTGCACAGCTAAACAGATTTCCCTTGCCACTTCTGCGGTGTACTAACATACTCGATCTTTCTCCATGAAAACAACAACACAGCAATGGCTAGGCAAGATACAAACCCTACTGCTTGTCCAGTGTTAAATTGGAAAGCATAGCCTAGGTATCTTAGCACATTTGCCAACAGGGAAGAAACAGAGCTTTTTATCCACATCTAATCAGAATATCAAATACTGGACATACAGAGAAAAACAGACAAAAAACCCAAGAGAGATGTCAAGAAATAGTTTTAAGTCATAGCATTTGCTTTTAATATTTCCACCTGCAGATAGAAGTAGTTGTGATCCAAAGGTGCCAATGTCTTGAAAGCTACGCAGATCCAGATCCCACAGTGACATTAGCATCCTTGTGGAAGAAAAACATGTCACCAAGGCTGCTGCTGTAACCCAGCTGTGCAGTCTTGAAAATGATGTTCCCAAATCACACACCCTTTTGAAATTCTTATTTAGCAAAGGCTGCTACTGGTTCTGCTTTGAGTCTTTCCTGAGAAAAGAGGGAAATTCAGCCCCAGAGCAAACAAAGGTTTGCTTGAAGCTCACTAAGGTCTCGCTCCTCTAAGTCCTTGTTTCAGTGCACATGTAAATGAGCTAATTCCTAGCCAGCAGCTTCAAGGTAAGGACAAAAAGAAGTCACTGACTTGGACACTGGTCTCATGGAAAGCATCTTTGTAACAAGAGCAGTTTGGTCCATGTTTAAGTCAAAAGAAGTCTGAAAGGCAACTGCTTTCATCTTTCTCACCAGACTGTATCCATACACACACTCACTGCCTATATTGACTCTGTTTCTTCCCATATTATTTCCTTCTCTTTGCAAAGTAAGAACTCAAACCAGCTTTTTAGAAAAAAATTATAAGACTTACTAACACATTCACCAAATTGAATTTAGAGCAAGCACCACCACCACCTCAAACACCCCCAATCTTCAGAATTAATGGAAGCCAGTTATTAGGATATCAGTTTTGTTTGAAAATAAAGTGCGTAATGGCTGTCACTGAGAACTTTGCTGATTTCAGGTTAGTGTAGTGTCAGTCCTCAGCAACATCAAGAAAATACTAATTAAAACAAATTGGTAACATGAGTCAAAATCTGAAACAGCACACATGAAAAGTTTTGTATAAATGGGAAAAACAAAAAGAAAGGAAAGTGAAATGGAATTCCTAGTCCTTTGTGGATCTGAGCCTACTATACAGCTATCCCAACATGCAGCATCTGAAATGAAGAATCACAGTCTGTTTGCTTCCCTTCTACTATCCCTGAATTCAGTTTGCAGCTATCTGGTGTCTGGCTGATTTCACCTCGGGCAGGGGAAGATGAATCTTGAGGGAGATCTACTGAGACGGTGTCAGATGAAGAATCTCGGCTTTCTGCTGAAAGAGAGTCTTGTGGCCAGCTACCCTCTGTTTCATTATTGCAATTTGTCCCTTCATCAGCCTCTTCCAGCTGCTGAACAGATTCCAGATACTGCTGTATTAGTCTGCTGTCCTGATCATTACCAGAGCTCTCTCTACTTTGCCCACATTCCCCATGGCCATCCTCCACATCTGAGGAATATGCTGAAACAGAATTGCCGCATTGTTTGACAGTTTCCACTGAAAGAGAGGTCTCAGTTCCTTCTGTTAAACTCTTTTCAGAGATACACAAGTCACTGGCATGAGTCTGATCAGCCACAGAGGAATGAAAACCAGAATCTGGGAACTTCAGTAAAGACTTTTCCTGATGAACATCACTAGCTGGAACTAACCAAGAAGAACGAACATCTGGTGGGGTTTCTTGCTCAAATGTGGATGATCGAATAGATGGTTTGGATGGACAGATAGTACTGGCTGAAGGCATTCCAGGTTGCCAAGTGGCACCTAAATTTTCTGTCACTGAAAGCTGCCACTGTTGAAGGGATTTAACCTGTAAAAGAATAGAGAGAATTTAATTACGAAATGCAACTAAAAGTACTTTGATTTCTAGGGTATTTCCTGCCATGAGCAACAAAGCTCTAGTAAAAAATTTAAGACCGAGGTAAACTAACAAGAGGTTTGTTATACCTTTAGGGAAAAACCACTGTTAAATAAGGGCTTTTAAACCTAGATGCCCAACCCTGACAGAGCACACAAGCCTCCCAGTTTAAGTACCTGAAGAATAATGAATCTGCTCTTAGAAACAGAAAGGATAAAGAACCTTTATGAAATAACCCATTCTTCAGAAAGCAGTCAAGTATTATTTCTGGAAGAATAGCTTATTACTATTAATAACTTTTCTAGTTTAGAAATGAGTTGCTGACAAGCAACATAGCTTGACACCATTCCATTTGTCCTGGGCATCTAGCAGTCACATTGTTCTTCCCACCTGCTGTGTTTATTTCACTTCCCTTGCATTTTGTCCTCACACCAGGCTATAATTTAGCTTTTTGTAACAAAACCAGTGTTCTTGCACTAATACTTCTGAATGTTATTTTCCCTCAGAATACTAATATAGCAAACAGCGCAGCAATTAGATTCTAATAAGCCACCCAAGTCATCACTGGAAAAAATGAACCATATTGACTATCTCTTCAGGATCTACAGTATGAAATAATGCCTTTCAAATTCATATGCAAGCAGAAAAATAAGAGGACTAAAACTATTTACCTGATCCCAAAGAAACCTGACAGCTTCCTCCTGTACAAGCCTCTGAATCTTATCTTCCTCTCTTTCTTTTCTTAGTCTGCAAGAGCACACATCCAAATTTATGCAGCTTATATACGCAACATTTGGGTAACAGGATCAACAAGAACACATAAAAATGCCTACTTATATAACAGCACTCTTGAAAGATACAACAGAGCCTAATATTAAGACATAACTGCAGTCTGGCTTGCTATCAATATCCAGCTGCTGACTTCAAGTCTTTTTTTCAGAGTAACATTAAGATTCTGCTTCCTTTTGCTGCAGCACATTTATTGATTTGCCAATACCTAAATGTCTTTTTGTAAGCTGAACCTGAACTCTTCATTTTAAGTAGGCATGCTTCTTTTTCCTGCAAAAAAACCCACACAAAATAGGGTTTCTTCATTTCAAATTATACTCTCCCAGCTGATATCATTTGGATGTTGGTATGCTGTGTAAGCACTGGGAGTTTCTAGAGGTTCACTCAGGGCTCAACTTGGTTTACAGAACTTCTGTCACTTGCGACAGTAAAGGAAAAGAGCCTGTTGGACTGCCAGTTCCCAGGCTGATGCAGAAAGACATTAACTAAATCCACAATTTATATCTTACATATTGAGGAACTGTGATAATATCCCCTCCAAACATGGATTTATAGGATCAAAAAAACCCAGAACCAAGCACAGAATGACATTTAAAAATTGTATCATGCAAGGCAGAGAGAATTCTTCTTTTCACTGGTAACAGAGAAATGACTCTCAATATGGACACTTCATTTAGAGAGTCTGTAATTGCTAGGAGATGAGTAAAAAACAAAAAAAGAAAAATCACACTTAGCAATTTCTATTTTGGTTATGCAGTGAAGCATGCATGTCATGCTCACTGAGGAACAGAAAAATGTATTCTGACCCAACCCACTCATAGAAGGCACTTAAGAGTATGAACGGCTGTGTGTGTAACTGTGCTTATCTTACAAGAAGAAATCGTCTACTGTAATCACAGTTTTTAATTACCAATGCTAGGTTCTACTGTGAGTAGTTATATCAAGACCCATTTACACCTGTTCTGAAATATCCTGGAGCAGTAGCTATACTTATTCAGATTTGAAAATACACAGTGCAACCTCAACTTACTTTTCTATTTCATCAGTTAAGCAAATGATGTGCTCCTGCATTCTGTTCAGTCGAATTTCATACCGCACTTCCTTGGCTCGGGGATGGTAGTTCCTTGTGTAAAATCCTCTCCAGCAGGCTTGAAGCTTGGTAGCTGCATTAGTCATTCTTTGCAGTTCAGCTGCACCTTGATCGACAACAGCTAATGAGTCAGAACTTTCTCCCGTCATCTGGTCAGGACAGAGAGTTGTAACTCCTGAATCGGCACCTAATGAGGTGCTGGGGTGACTATGCAGAGTTTGGTCTTCAGAGGATGCTGAGCAACTGCCATTATTAGCAGTCAGGCTAGCTGTTACTGGATCAGAAGGCAACAGCACACTCTCTTTGACACTCTCTTGAGTTTCCAAACTTCCCACTGGTCTGTTCAAATGCTCTCTTGTAACACATGAAGCTTCTTGCTTGTTAGCTGTTTCTCTGCTATTAACATCACTCACACATTCAATCACTGTATCATCATCATCTGCTAGGCCCAAGTTGATTCCATGTAGTTTCAGGTCTGAAGTAGGAGATACTGGAGACAATCCTGAAGCAACTGGCATGAAAGTAGACTCTGAGGATAAAAGGCTGCTGTTTAGTTTGTCTTCATCTGTCTGTATATCTTCAAGGTACAACTCCTTGCGAAAACTTCTTTCAAGAAGAAAAGTGTTCTTTACTGCATAGGAATGATCATCGTTTGTATTTTGTCCAACCCAAGAGTTCTTCTGGGTGATAGGTTCTAGATAGGCAGAAAGCCATATTCAAGAGTGTTAAATGATTTCTCTATGAATTAAATGAAGCTATGTTATTGATTTGCAATTTGGTTTAGATAGTTAGAACCCAAGTGTGTAAGAAAATCTAAAATGCTAGTAATGAGAAGCGTTATTTCTGTATAATAGTAAGGACAATAACTATTTATCACAGTAACATCCACAAACTTTGCAAATACTGGGTACAGTTAATTGTACAAATTGCCTCCCCATAGAGAAGTTAGACCGTCAAACTCTTTATTTTATGGGATTGTGTTTTTCATCTAACAATCTTACTTGCATTTCAAGACACAAAAAACATGTAATATATTTTTAGAAAAAAGTATAACTTCAGTTGAAAAAATCTAAAAATAAAAATCAGTAGAATACAATAATAACGGGGTCTTGTTCCGAAATTCTCTCCACAACATTATCAGTGTTCAAAAAAAAATGTTTATTTCCACAGGTTAGCTCACAGGTGCATATTAGCTTCTTACCACTTTCAAGAACTATCTGTGGTGGCTGGGCTGGACTGCTGTGTTCATAAGTAACTGGCGGGGGTTTGTTGGGAGTAGATGATGTAGGTGGTCCTTCATTTTGGTTTTGATGCATCAGCTGCCTCTGGTGGAGCCTAAGTACAGAGTTCCAATAGATTTTTATATTTATTTCATTATTTTTTTGGTGCAGAAGACATCTAAAAGAAACTATCAACTACTTTAGAGGAAACAAGTGATCAAACCATTCTAAAGAGGCTAGTTATGCAAAGCCCTACACCTACAAAACACTAACAGGACTACTCACAAAGTAGGGGATTGCACAGACTGCTCCTGTTCCCCTTCCTCCTGCCCCTTTTTCTTCATTACAGTACATGTATCAAAAAAAAAAAAGAAAGAAAAAATGCAACATGCAATTCTGACTACAGACTGGAAACCATGAAGTTTTTCTAGACACAAGGAAAGTATGCAGGTATTCTGTCTACTGCAAGACACATTATGCTTGTATGTGTAAAGGAGTCTGAGGAATGGAGGAAGTGTCTTTTACATTTGAAAATGGCTGAATCAAGGAAAGGGTGTTCCTGTTAAAGGGACAAAATTCTAATACAAATCAAGAAATGTTGTCACAAACATAAAATCATCTTTACAAACTGAGAAAACACACAGGTTGTTTTCAGTCCATCTGAATTCAAAGATCATGAGGTAGAAGTCAGAAAGTCAAACTGCCTTGTAAATCATGTGTGTGTGTGTGTGTGTGTATATATATATATATATTTTATCGCGGGGATTTTGGGGTATTGTTCTTCTGGTGAGGTTTTTTGTTTGATGGGATTTTTTTAGTTTTTTGAAGAATTATTTTACAAACTAACTTCATGAATTTTCCCCAGAAACACCATGTCAATGCCACACCATTTAGCTGGAAATTCCAATGTCAACATGCTGTAAATTGTACCTTCTTCCTCTCAAATGACCGCAACATTTCTGTAATTTCCTCACAGAGATCAAGCTACACTGACAAAGTATACAGTAGCTCCTTCCAGATGCTCCAAGTTTCCAGCCCTTTTAATGAGATGCCACCCTTCTGCTTACCACAAGACTTCTGTTTCCCAACTTTATACCTACACTATGCTACATACATAGCCTGCTCCTTGAAGCTGAGTTTTCTGCTCTCATCTTTCTACAAAAAGTTTGTCAATAGGTCCTGGGGAATAGGGACACCTGTATTGGTACGTTTTCTGACATTTAATCTCAATTAGTTCACCCTTTCATGGGAGGAAAGTGCACCACGATAACTCTCCTCATCTGCTTGCACAGACCTCAGCACAACAGCTACTGCTGGCAGAACCAGCAGGCTCTGTAGAGGCCTCTGCTGACAGACCCAAGGTGCCAGATGCAGAGATCGTCAACTGCATCACTGGGAACACTGTCCCTCAATGGACAACCTCAACTTTAAAAGGTTTAAAGAAATAACATAATAACAACAAAAGAGTGGCTGATACATCACTGTACCACAATAGTCTTCATGTACAATTAGAACAAAAGTTAATCTAAGCTCCTTTTTGAAGTTTTCCTCACTTTCTCCGTAACAAAAAAATCTCAGTAGGGACTTTGTTTATTTTAATCACAGTCCTAGAAGGTACAGCAAGCAGGAAAACACTCCCATTCCCATCTGGGGCACATCATGTACCTCCATTACTCTACGCACCTCCAGCCCTCACCGTTGCTTTGAAATACTTAAAAGGAAATCTTATTATATCTAACACATACAATTATGTTCTCAGTTACATTCTCTTAACAGCAGAGAAACAAGAAGTTCTGACCTTTGCTTACTCAGTATTTTTTCCAGTTTGGCATCCTCTTCAGTCTGGAGATCGTATGTAGATATAAGAGGACAAACGGTAGCCAAGTACTGGACTAGCTGAACATGCTGCCCAGGTCGATATGATCTTCCTTTACCTTGACTGTAAAGCCATTCTGCTTTCAAACTGTTAGGAAGAGGGAAAACAGTCACCATTAACGCATGGCATAAAACCCCTAATTCTCCTTTAATTACTGTTCTTCTGTTGGACACTAAGAACTAATCTACAAATCTAATCAAAACTTGGAACATGCTCAGTGCCCAGAGGAACTGGGAATTTCATTACTAGAATAATGAATTAAGTATTCCCTCACATAAGCACTGATGAAAAAAAAGAAACCCTCCGACCAAACCTATGCAGTCTCTGCTTTATCTGTGTGTAGTCTTTTGAGCACTGAAAACACATTTGTATCAATAAATTTATCAGCAAAGTTTTCACAGAAACACAAAAGCTCACACAAACATGCAGAATAGGTGTAGAGAACAAATCTTGCTGAAAGTATTCAAAAACTGATATCTGTTTTTAAAATTAATGCTCCTAACTCTGAGAACATTTAATATAATATATCTATATATAATTATACAGTTAATACAGAAAACCCTGTTAGTCATGAAAAAAGTTTCTAGAATTCTTACAGGCAACTTTTTCAGAAAGTCATATTATGTTATGGTGAAGCAGAAACAGAATTGGTTTACCTATGACCAAAAAGGCAGCTTTTTATTTTAGAAACGGAGGAAAAAAAACACATCAATGTCCTGGAATACATTCAAGTATCAGACTGGAATGTGTTTATAGTGGATAATATTTATGCTTGAACTGTTCTGATGTCAAGAACTTTAAGATGACATCTCTGCTCTCATACAGATATCATAGTGATATAAAGACCACAGTCACACAGTAACAAGTTATTTGAGCAAAATAGTATTTCACTAATTGATACCAAAAAAAGAGCCAAATCTAGAAATGCACAAATCAGGCCCTTTGTAAAAGAGCACGTTTGAGCTTCCCCCAAGCTAACAGCTTTAATATCTGCTGATTGTCCCATTCTGCAAAGTCAAATAGGCTATAAGCTTAGAAGGGGTAACAGACCATCAATAAACTACTACCACAGTTTCGCTTTGTAAAAGTGGAACTGCGAGTTGAGTAACAAAAGAAAAGCTTACTTCATGCTTCTACTTAAATAAACTTGTGATCTTACATAATAATTTCAGTGCAATAGATGAAAAATTTAGCAAAAGCAACAAGGTTAATTGGCCCATATCTCATATGGCCATCAGCAAAAAAAACAGACTTTCAGATCATTAGCACTTTTCCAATTTTTTATTATATCAAAATGCAATTTCAGCTTAGCCAAACCTAATTTAATAATTTTAGAGATTTAATACTATTATGTCACCTTTCCTTCTGAGAAATCACATATCCGTCAAGAACTTTAAGGTTCAGACACCAGCTGACAATATATGGCCTGTAGTCAAAGCCAGGAATAGAAGGTGTGGCCATCACACAAGGATTGTTCATAATTGACAACTGCTCCAACTGATGAAGAGAGGTCAGGAAAGAAACCTTAAGAAAACAAAATGTATTTGTTAACTGAATAGAACCCATTAAATGCTTACAGAACGTACCACACTTCTCCTAGTTGCAGATAAGCCATCTCACACAAAACAACAAAACTATAAACACACTGAAAAAAATCACATTTGCTTTTGAACATGAACATCTTCTAAGGACCTTCTATAAACAACTGCCATTTTCCCATTAATTCTCTTTTAAGTACTACAGCCCTTGGAAAGTATTAGCTTCTCTTGAAATCTGGGAATGGGGCTCTAAGTATAGAAAGGTATAGTATTTCTATCATTTCAGTTCACTCAAAAGTTGAGATTGACCAAAAAATAAAGCCAAAAAGCCATAGAAACAGTGTCCTGTTTTGAAGATAAATGTATTACCAAAATAAAATTTTTCTTCCAACATGGAAGTCTTAACTGACAGTTTTGGCTGCTACTTCTATTTAAAAATAAACCAAACAAAACAATAAAGACAAAAATCCCAGGCAGAATGTGTTTCTCTTATATAGTGTTTGAGAAACAGATTAAGACATGGGCCTAAAACCCATCAGTTGCAAAAGCACAATTCAAACCTCTGTTCTAAACACAGCAGCTACAGAAGCCCTCTGCAGTAGTTAATCAGCTCAGCTTTTAATCTTCAGACAATTATGAAAAGGTCTATATGAATTTCCTCCTTAAAGTATACTTCTGACAACCTTGACTAATATATAAACATAAAAAAAAAAAGGCAAAGTTTCTTTCAAGGATAAATTTTAAAAGGTATCACCTAAGCTTGTGCAGCTAATGCAAGTATAGTTGTTTTTATATACAAGCTATTAAAAACTGCTTCTATCAACATGGGCGGCTTTGAAGAAGAGAGCCCATTTTCACTTACAGCCTCAGAAGAATTAATTATCCGACTATGTGCTTTCAGCCTACCTAAAGACTGTGGGTGCGTATGCCAGGTCGCAAACAGTCTGCGTCACTGACAATGTAAAAGTGTCATCAGCATTCAAGTTAGAAGATTAACAATGTCTAAATTAATGACACACTTGTGTTAGAAGACTTAACAGCGTCTAGATTAACGACGGCTAAAAGTTAAAGTATTTTTACTCATTAGGGAAGAAACAGATAAGAAAGGAAATCTGTAGAATAACAAAGCAGAAATTTATCTACCAGTTGTTCACGCTTAGTAGCGCTTGCTGAAAGTACTGAGAGGAACGAGTTTTTGAAATGAGCGTGCACCAGAGCAACACACGGATTTGCTGTCACAGGAATGTATAAGGACTTGTTTTTCTAATAAAGATCGGAGCTTGACTGTTAACCATATTGGTGTGTGTCTTGTCTCACAGACTCGTCCTGCAAATAAGGGGGTTCCTGCTACAACTAGCACCCGAACAGGGACCTCATTTTTATCTCTTAAATGTGGAAACTCGCTTAAGTGCGGAAACTCGCTTAAGTGCGGAAGACTCGCTTAAGTGCGGAAGACTCGCTTAAGTGCGGAAGACTCGCTTAAGTGCGGAAGACTCCAAAGCATCACCAAAGGTGATACTGGGAGCTTGCAGGTGGGGAAGCAGAAGGGCACATGACAAAACACCGGAGCGTGGAGATCCTGCAGGTATGGAAAAAGACGCAGCCCTAAAACTGATGTTAAGTATCCTCTCTATGAGAGGCGAAGAAACAGCTCTTAGAAATCTTAAATAGCTTGCTGAGTGAGCGCATGGAAAACTTTTTTTGAGATAAGAAAAAGACAAAATAATGAACGCGGCCGGGCTGTTAACACAGACAACGAGAACACAGATGGAGAGGATGCATATTTTGAACCTCGGGAGCAAGATTTATATGCTGGGTCTTTTAACTGTGATAATCTTTTCGACCCTGACGCTGTAAATTCTGAAAAAGAATTTGGTCTGTGTCCTCCCTTAGCTGGGGATGATCCGTGGGTAAAGTGAGGTGAAAAACCTTGGTGCAAGGGGATATGGCCATGGCAAGAAAGATTGTTGCTCCTGTAAGCTATGAGCCGGGACATCTACCATGTTGGGAAGGACTGCATTTTTCTGTTATTAAAGATCTACAGAAAAGCATTAATGAAGACGGGTTGCAAAACTAATTTACAACAGCTGTACTGGAGGCGATGGCTGAGGGATATCGATTGGCCCCATAAAAATTCGCTAGCACTTTTAAGAAAAAAAACAGCATTCACGCTAGCACAGTACTCTATCTGGAAAACCGAGCATGTGGATCTCTGTGCTCAGCATTCGCGCCCCCCCCAACCTGCAGGCGCGGAGTTGGCGGCGGCGGCCGGGCCCGGGG